TTGGATGACCCTTCTGCCCTCGCTGAGTTTTTGTCCTCTATCTCTGCCCCAGATTCCCTGGCGGCTGCCATCAAAAGTGCTGGCTTTCACACCTTGGGCTCCTTGGCCTTCGCCCTCTCTGACCCATCTGATCCTGAGGAGGTTATGAGGTTCATCCGGGTCATTCTCAAGATACCCGACGGCGATGCTACCGCCACCTTCCGTCCGGATGTGTCCTGCCTCCGGCGCACCGTACTGGAGGCTTGCTCCATCGCACCCCCCCGCGCCGCTTCGGCTGCTGCCCCGTCGCAACTGCTGCCTGCTGCCCCACTTGCTTCGACTTCAAACAAGCTTACGGCGGCCGAGTTCCTTGCCCTTCGCAAGGACTACTTCACTAAGTATCCAGGTGAATTGCTGACGCCTGCCAATACTCCATCCGTCGAATTTTTGTCTCTGATCCGCCAGCATCAAGAGTCCGGCCAGTCCGTTTGGATTCCGTGGCGTCAGCGCACATCTGAAGCTGATTTCTTGCATTGGGAAGAATCCCGCCGCCCCAGGTCCGACCGCCAAATGCTTCGATCTCTGCTGGACTTGCCGGATGAAGCCGCTGGTCCGTTCTTTGTTTCAGCATCAACGGCCCCTCTGAGTCCGTTCTCCGTCGCTGTCTCGACCTCTTCGCCACTGCGTTGGCTTTGTTGGACCTGGTTCACTTAGCTACCATTAAACGGTTCAACGATAAGTTCTTTACCATGGCTACCACCCCGCCGTCCGATACTACCCTCCGTGCTCCGGTGCTGCAGGAAGTGGTCCATGCTGACCGAGCAATCTGGATGACAGTCTCCGCTCTAGGTCCGGGACCAGTCTTGGTCCCTCACCGACAGCCTTAATGAGGTTGGGTTTTGCCGTCATGATATGGCCCCGCTGCTGCAACCCCGCCCCAGGCCGGCGCGTGCACCTCAGCAGCCGTTCGGCCCCGCTTCTCCCGGCAAGCCTAACCCGCGCAAGCGCGTCAATCCGGATGGGCAGCATCCGGCGCCTCCCTCCGCTGCCGATGCGGCCAACCCCAAAGCGGCACCTAAAGTCAAGGCCAAAGCCAAGGGTAAGGCGGCTCCGTCCAAACCCGGCCCGATCCCTGGTTTCGACCCGTCCTGGGCGCGCGTCGTGGACGGCGCTGACGTGTGCATGAAACACGCCCTCGGCAAGTGCACCAATCCCAACTGCAAGTACGCCCACGTGTGTCCTGTCATGCTTCCGTCCGGCAAACCATGTGGTCAGCCACACACGGCCCTCGAGCATGCGGCCGCCCCACATTGACTACCTCCGGCGCCGCCGACGGTGGCCGTGCCACTTGCATCCGTTACTGCCGGCGTGACGCCATCTTCAGTGCATGCGGTCCCTGCTGCTCCTCCTAAGACGGCTCCGCCTCGTGCTCCTTCCGAGTCATCCACCCAACCTCTGCGTGTTCCCCCGGCCCGGCTCTTCTTGGATTTGTTCGCTGGAGCCGCCTCGCCCGTTACTCAATCGATTGTCGCACTCGGTCGAATGTGCTTTCAGCCGGTGGATTTACTCTCAGGTGAACACATCGACCTGCTGCACGATGCCACCTTCGCATCTCCGCCCTGCTCGGCCTTTTCCCGTGCACGCCTCCGTCCTCCGTTCCGGCGGCCCCCCTCCTATCCGCACTGTTTCTCACCCGCGCGGTAAAGACGTGCTTTCTCCGGCTCAGACAACCGAGCTGGCCGCGTCCTCTCTCCTTCATGTTCGTTGCAGAGAGCTGCTGGCTCTCGTTGCTGCCCGTGGGGGTCTGATTTGGCTTGAAAATCCCACCTCAAGTCTTCTCTGGTTGGACTCACAGGTCATGGCTTGGTGTCGTACACACACTCCGTTCGCTGCCACTGTGGCTGCTTGTGTGCATTCCGTCCCCATTCACAAATCCTGGACCTTCATGTGCAATCACGCTGCGATCGCGTCTGTGGCGTCTGTCTGCCCTCATCCTCTGGGCTTTCATCCCGCCTTGTCAGGCCGTCGTGGCCCCGACCATGTTTTTCTCACTCGCCAGACTGCTCACTACCCGACATCACTGGCCTCTCTTCTGGCCTCCGTGGCCGCCCCCTTTGTGGACAAAGGCGCTGCCAATCATTCCGTCCGCAACTGGACTTGCCTCCTCCCTTCTCATCCCTGCTGGTCCCTTCCCGCCGGCCGGGTGGAAGATGGCGCCGGCATCTGCAGTTCTGCGACTCCCTTCCCCCCGACTCAATCCGACGCACTTGGTGACCTCCGTAAGGCATGGACTAAACGGCTCCTGGACTCTGGCCTGCATCAACAGATTGCGTCCCGATCCCTTGTCCGAAGCTGAGCTTGCCCCTTTTCTGGCCGACCTTCGCGCTTTCCTCCACGTGGACTCCGACCCTACCTGGACTTCTCTGCTCCGCGTTCTTGATGGTCAACCTTTCCGACTAAACTTGTGGCATTGCCTCTCTTTGCTCTGCTCCGACCCGGGCGCCGACTTTTTCCATGTTCTACGTGAGGGTGTCCCCCTCGGCATCGGCACCGCTATCCCGGTCTGCCCGGTCATGCACCCTCCAGCTCCGCCTGACGCCCTCCGCCTTCCTTTGGAGCATTGTGAATCCGCATGGAAATCCGCCCTGGACCATGCCGATGTCGTGGATTCTCTTCTGCAAGCCGAGCTCGAAGCCGGTTGGATCCGTGAAATCCCCGGTGGCGACGCGGAACTCCGCCGCTCCTACCAGCACACTGCTGTTGGCAAGCTGGGCCTGGTTTTAGCGCCTGGGCGCCCGCCTCGCCTGGTGGTCGACTCTTCGGTGTCCGGCGTGACTTCCAACACGCGTCTTCCTAACCGTTCCGCTAACCCATCTCTCATGGACGTCCGCCGCTCGGTTCCGGTTTCCGACTCTCTGGACCAGCTGATCGCAATGGTGCTTGACGTGGCTAAGGCCCACCGTCGAATGCTCATCCGCCCGTCGGATCGTGGTCTTCTGTGCTTCCGTCACGCTGGCCGCCTGTATCAGAGTATCACCCTGAATTTTGGTGCCCGCGTCTCCAGCTTCTTCTGGGCGCGCTGTGCAGGCTTGCTGGTTCGACTTCTCAAGCGTTTGGTCCGCATCCGCCATTCATCCTGGATTTATGTCGATGACATCTTGGCATTGTTCAACCGCCTATCCGCTCCGCTTTGGGCCTCCGTGGTGGTCATCTTCTTGCTCTGCCTCAAAGTCCCAATGAGCTGGCACAAGGGAACTCTTTCCCCCACGGTGGTGTGGATTGGTTGGCAGATGGACTTCGAATGCTTCACAGTTCGTCTTGATCCGTCCAAGCTTACCCGCTTAGTGGACCTTGCCAAGCAACTGTTAGGCTCTCGTGACTGTTCCGTCCGCGACCTTGAGCGGCTCACAGGCAAGCTCCTTTGGCTTTCCTCCCTCTTCCGCTGCTTCCGTCCTTCCCTGGCTCCGTTGTACGCGGACCAACATGCATTTACTCCGGTGCTTACTGCCGTTTCCCCCGATAAATGGCAAGCCCTGTGTGACAACGTGGACGCTCAACTTGTCCTCCAGCGTTCCGTCGGCATTGCAGCCATCCCTCCGGGCTCCGTCTTGCTTCGGGTCGGCCAATCGCCGCTCAAGACCCGCCGCGACCTATGCCATGTGGTCCCGGAGCGACGACGGATCTGGGTACAGTCTTCTTGCCCGTCGCGCTCCTTTTGCCGACTTTCTGACTCCTCCCGTCAGGTCATCAATATGTGGCTGGATTTGGCTGCTTCTGGTACAGATATCCGCCCGTTGATACTGCCACCACTTTTTCAGTGTACCGCCTTCGCGGATGCCTGTGCAGATGCCTCCTCCGTCGGCATGGGAGGTTTTGTCCGCTTGCCGAACGGCGAGCAGCTGTTCTTTCAGACAAAGCTCACTAAACCGCAGATGCTCCATCTCTTTCCGTGGCTCCCGCCTGATTGTTCTTTGCAATCCTATATTGCCACATGGGAGCTCGCGTCGCAGGCCGCTCTGTTGCTTCTGCTTCACCGCCTGTTAGGCGACGCGCACTTACCCTGTCACACAGTCTTCCGTTCCGATAACTCCGCTACGGAATCGGCATCCTGGAAAGGCCTGTCTATGGCCCACGGCCTTTGCTCCGTACTCCGCTCTTTCTTTACACTTCAAGAGCGCCTGCGCATCTCCGTCCATGTGGACCATGTTCCCGGGATTTCCAACGACGTTGCCGATGGTCTGAGCCGTGCATCCGACCCCGCATCCTTTGGATTTTCCCCGTCCGAATCAGTGGACGTTGATTGGTCCGTCATGTCGGCCTCGCCGCCCATGCAGTTCTTTCCTTCTGCCGAGCCTTTTTCGGGTTTCTGTGCTCCTTAGCCCTCTCTCTGGCCGTTGCTTGATCTTCTTTTGGTGCGGTTCCCCTGTCGGGTCAAGCATGCCGCTCGATCATCTTTGGTCCGACCGCAGCCAAAAGGACCGGGTTCCTTGAATCCGTCCGTCGGACAGTGTCTCACACACAGACCTCCGGTTTTTCTGCAACTGCCGCCAAAAAGAGAGAAGTGCGAGTGCATTGTTTGCCCGACCGAGCACTTCTTACCTCCCAGGGTAACGGACTAGTCCGCCTGAACGGAAAGAAAGAAGAAGTAGGAGAGGAGAAGACAGGTGACCCCCGGAGGAACCCCGGACGGGGTCATCGGCTCCTCGCCTGAAGCAAGAAAGGTTTGCGCTGTAAGTCCTGACCCAAGCTTTCGGAAATAGCCGGAAGCGAAGCTCGCGACCAGCCACCTCGTGAAAGAAGATGTGCCGTGCGGCTGGGTGGGGGCACGCGAACACGTCCGGTTGTTCATCCGAACCAAAGAGCGAACGACAAAGAAGGGGTGAACGAGCGTTTCAGAGTTGTTATTGTTATTGTGTCCCGAATTGGGGAACGAGCCTTGCCACGCGTCGTTGAGCGCAGGCTCAGGTTTTTGACAACGCATGTTGACCTCAAGTTCTCTATCAAACTTGGTTGGATAGCCGCTTACTTACCAGATGACAACACAGCGTATGCGCAGCACCGCATCATTCACATTCACTTACCAGCATCGCATTGGTCCGCCTTGCTCTCAAGTTTACAGCGTCGTCGCTTTTTTTTTTTACAACACACTGTAGAGTCAGCACAACACTCACAACAGTCCAAATGCTACTGAGCTTGATCAGGTATGTTTGGTTGGGACGCAACGGCAACCGACCGCTCCGCTGTAGACTGTAGCCATCACAAAAGGATCAGATTCTACATCCCCATCCGAACGCGTCTGTGCTTCACCAGACCACCGGATTTTCTGCATTGGTGTAAACAGAAGCCTACCGTCACAGAGTGCGAATTTAGCCGTGCTTTCAGGGTAACGGACCAGTCCGACCGAACCCTATCTTACACCCAAGCACTCCACAACCAAAAGCAACAAAAACTAAAGGGACGAGACCGTGATGCGATTGGACTTTACATCAGAGTGTAGTTCATACATATGGGTAGTTGTCAAAATTAGGGTCCCTTGTGGGGTACCCTCAAAAATAGGTGCCGTATTGTAATAAGGACCCAAGAAGGTACCATAATTTTGACAACCACCCATATAATCGATTGGGAACCTTAAGGCCGGAAGCATCTGGAAGAAAAAAACAAATGCCATCAACAAACCAAGAATAGATCCTGTTTCGCGTGGCAGGTGTGGCACTTTCAGTCCAAGCTTCCAACATTCACCCCTCCCCGGGTGGTTAGCCATTGCGCGTCTAATATGCCTGGAGGTTGCGGTGAGTGCCATAAGCTGTACGATCTGTGACAGCCTAAACTGGGAACTCTCTGGAGTCGCCCGACTTGCATGAGCTCCGTAGATAATATGCACTGAGTTGCAGTTGCAGCCCGTTTCCGCAAGGCCGGCATTTGCAGCGAGCTGCTTCGGCACAACTCCTCGTGGTCAATGTGGTCATCAAGGTCGAGCAGCCTTTGGCCAAGAGTCGGCGCCTGACTGGGCTCAAGGTGACCAAGGTGAGCAAGCTCTTGCAGTCCCTACTATCCGTGACCCCGAAGTACCGCAAGTGCAAGAACCGCTTCCCCAAACAGCTCTTGACAAGATTGTGTTGGACATGGCAGTCGATCCAGCGGAGGTGGTGGGAGCAAGGGTATCGGCCGGACGAATGAACTTCGAAGACTTTGTTGCAACCTCAATGGTTATGACGACTCCATCAGATGCCGGTCCACTGGGTGCCCTGCCAACTGGTTATGAAAAAATCATTCTGGCGATGACCTTGGAGGAACGACGAAACCCGGAATTGTTCAAAGGCACAAATGCGCAGGATCGCATTGCTAGGGTGGCTGCACAGGCTGGAATGGAACCGCAAGTTGCCAAAACATTCTTGAACGATTTTGGCTCCATTCAGCAGTTCTTCGCCAAAGTTCAGCAGGGGACTGAAGGAGGCAAAGGAGCTTTACGACAGCCAATGCAGATGGCTGCCGAGTACCTGGCAAAGAAGCCTCGCCGCATGCGCCGTGCCCGTGAAAGCCAAAACAAGATGCTGAAGCAGGCAGGCAAAGATCTCCGAGCGAAGAAGGCTCGGGTTGCTGTGTGAGAGTGAGAAGCGTTAAGACCCTGAAAATCCTAAGCCGTTGTCGCAAATGCGAGGCCAAGAGCAGAAGCAAAGGCTTCAGCTGAGACGTTGGTTGTGCGTTCAGGAGTATGCAGCCTCATGCATTTTGCAGCAGGGGCGGGGAAAGCGAGATGAAGGACGAGTTTGCGAAGCACTGAAGTATTTGGGGCACAGCTGGAGCTGTGAGGCTCTGAAACTTTGGAGAGTTCGCCCCGCTGCTGCCTGCGAGCCAAAGCGCTCGGTGCGGCGAACAGAATGTCAGTATCCGCATTATGCGCACGAAGCTGGTGGCGGTTCTTGGCCGTTCCTTCAGGCCCTGAGGCCAGCATAGTCCTTTGTGCTGCTCCAGCTGGCCACGGTTTATTCGACCCAAGTTAAGCCTTCGCAACTTCGCAGCTGTTGGGAGTTGCCGCTACAGAGCAAAACCAAACATACGTAAGGTGCTTTTGACAAGGGGGCTTTGCACAGGAGATCTCATCTATTCCAAACGAGACATTCGAGACCGTAGCGTAGTGTGTTGACTGCGCTCTCTCAGTGTCTCCTGACATTTATCCCCGATTCAGATTTAGTCCGCCCCTGCTTGTCACCAGAGTCTGCTGCTGGCTGCTCACATGCTCGGCAGAGCGAGTTGTCGCACCAGCCGGAGAGCCAGAGCATGCCACTGCTATGCTGCTATACCTAGGTCTTGGCTGGTGTCTAACAGATGTGGCCTTCGATGCCCTTTTGGAAGAGGTTGGTGGAAGAGGGTATTTCTGCAAGAGCTGTCAAGTCTGGCAACGCCTGTTCCAGGCCGCGGGGGTATCCACAGAGGACTGACGAAGAGCGGCACTGGTGCCAAGTTTGTCGGATTTCGCTCTTCAGGCTCAACAAATACCCCTCTGCTTCACTGACATTGAAATGTCTCCTCACCTCAAAATTGCACCCGCTGCCTTCCGTGAACCCTGGACTGCCGGAGGATTCAAGTCTACATCGCAGGAAGTGGGTCGGGATCCCCCGTCCTTTGTTCGCTTTACGTAGGCACATGAACGTTTCTCAGGCACTGCCCAAGCTGCTTGAAGTGGCTGACCTTGGTGAGGCGTGGCTGGGGGCCTTGCTGGGCCAATCTGTGTGCAACGTGAGGCTGAGGCTAAGATAGAAGGGATATCGCAGGCTGACGGAATGGCTTACGTGCGGCTTATGTTGTGGTGTCCGCCTGCTGGAGGCATTTGTGAATGCGGGCCCCACAGCAACACGCACCCACCATCCCACTCCACCGCCGCCGCATCCAAACTGCACCTCGCTGCCGCCACCGCAACTGCTGCCGACGTGCCGATCTGCTGAACCGCCGCAACGCGGCGTCCCTGGCCCTGGCGTGGCCTCAAGCTGCAGTATATTGCCCGTGTCGCTCGAAGGATCTCTGTGGGCCAAATCCGGAGGCATCGGAGTTCTTGGAGAGTCAAGGCTGAGCCTGGCTGCCTGGCCGTCTCGAGGCATTGAGGGCCGCCTTCAAGACTCTTGGATCCCAGAGCTCATGCACGAAGGACCCTCCGTTTTCTCCGATATCTCACCGTTTGCCCGCAATCCGCCCTGCAGGACCGACTGAAGCAGCTGGCGACAGGACCTTCGGACTTTACATTTTACGTCAGCAATTTAATACTGCCGAGCGAAAGGCCACGATGGTGGCCTGACGGAGGCGGACATAGATGAGCTTTTCGCGCACCTGGTCTCAAACAAAGCCGAACTCGGTGCGGTTGCTTCGTGCAGTTTGTCGTGCAAGGCTTTGTGGTGCATCTTCACAGCGAGTTTCCACTGACATGCTCGTTGATGGCTTGGTCGACTGCATATGCCAGCCGAAGGCAGCTTTAGGGATCACTTGGCAGACGGTGCGCTGTTCGGTGTTGGTCCGTGCTGCTCCTGTGCTACCTGCTGAGGCACATGTGCATAAAGCAGTGCTGGGACAAAGTCGCTTGTTTCTCCCGGGATAGGTTTCTCCGAAAAGTCAAAATGGCTTGTCGGCATGACATGGTGGCTTCCCAAAAGTGGGCGAAGTCTCGAAGATGCTTAGCAGTGCCAGCGCTCAGTTCTGCGAGGAATGCGTCTGTAAGTCTCTTGGGCTTCCATCGGCTTTTGCTGGCCTTGTGGCTCGACAGCTGGGCGCGGCGTGGCGCGCAGCGCGCGCGCGGCATGCGCTTCCTGGGCCTCCCCGTTGCCGCCCTGGCGGTGGCGGTGCTGCCAGGCTCTGCGAGGGCCAGGGTTGTGAGCGAGGGACAGCTAATGGGCCGTGCGCCAGTTGCCCGTGGCCTGCTTCTACAGAACCGGCCAGTTGATGCCGCTCGGCTCTTTTCTCCAGAAGAGTCTTCTCTTTTCCTGTTAGCAAAAACCTGAGGCAGCTGGCCATGGAGGCGCTGGACTGCGCTTGGACCAGACGGCGTAAGCTTGGCAGATCCCGAGGCCGAGGCCCGATCCTGACAATGGAGCAGCGCTTGCCTCAGTGCCTCAGCGAGAGGGCATCCAGACACGGCTGTGTGCAATTGTCAAGGTGGCGCTCACAGCGCCAGGCGAGTTCGAGTGAAGCTTTGTTGAACGGAGTATAACAGAGTACGATGCGCTGCAGTGGAAGGCCTCAGCAGCTTCTATGAGCCAGGTTGCGAGGTGGCCTCCGTGTTTCTTGTTGTGTGTGTGTGTGTGAATTGAAAGCCGAGGTCATCACTCACAGAATATCGCCGGAACTTAAAGATGAGCTTGCATCGACACCGTGCCATGGTCGCAAGAGTTCTGATGCGTGTGGGACCTTTGATGCTTCCTCTCCATTAGCTCCGCCGAAAGCGTTTAGCCAATTCGGACCGGCATGCCACCAGGCCTCGAAGTGAGGTCCCATGTTGAGTAGCACAGGATAGGCTGAAAGGTGCTTGGAAAGTCCTGGCCACGCAGTGTCAAATTGCTTCAATTGAAACGTTTTCGTTTGACAACGGGGGATTTTTTTTGAGGCCGACGAGACCAGGGACGCTGCACACACGCACAGGATCCTCGGTATTTTCCGTAACGGGAACAGGCTGTCCGTAACAGGCACCGTAACAGGCACTTGTAACTGGAACGACGCTGGAAGCCGTAACAAGAACAGCCTGGTTCCCGTAACAGGCTCGGAACGGCCCTGGTAACAGGAACCGCGGACTCCAGGCCTTCCTTTCAGATCCTGTTCTTCACCTGGCTGCTGAACTCGGGGATCGCTTTCCGATCCCTGAGCTACAGGGCATGAGACCTACGATTCTAGCATGTCTACTTCCAGCCCCAACATTTTCAAACGACATTAAGACTCCGGAATCCAAACAGACCCACGTGCAGAAACCCTTAAACCCGAAAGCTTCAAGCCCAAGAAGGTAGCTTCCATAAGTTCCTGGTTAGCACTGAGCCCTCAGTCTTGGACTTCTCGTACCCTTGAGACTCCGGAGTCTGCTTGCAGCTATGGCTTCAAAGTGATAGGGCTTTGGGTGACAGGGTTTTGGGGTTTAGGGTTTAGGGATGTTTAGAGGTTGAGGGTCTTGAGGGTTTAGAGGTTTAGGGTTTATCGGGTTTTTGGTTTAGAGGTTTGCAGCTGTGCCTCGGTTTGCTGAATGCTTTCTTTGGTGGACAGGCGTTGCCATGCATGTTGACAAGACCAAATTGAGCGGGCCTGTTCCGTCGGCATGATTTCTGCCGTTTCTTTGTGATCCGTTGCTGCACACATTGTGAGCCAGATGTTCGACCTCGGAAATATGGCCCAGCTGTTCCTTGGCATTGGACATAGGGGAGAGATGATTTGAAGCAGTGCATCGCTACCATGTCTCACTCTCGGCTGGGTGGTCGGTTGGAATGGCTCAGGATCTGTGGCATCTGCATCAATCTTTCACTGGTGGCGTGCATGATGTGCGCCTGCAAGTGTTGCTGACAGCTTGCTTGCTTTGTCCATGTGTTGTCTTGTGGCAAGCTGCTCCGCTGATCCGAGCCGAATTCTCAAGAACATGAAGCACAACTCATGGAGAACTCTCACCATTTCGGATACGTGGCAGCAACATCGTGGAGTTTGACCGGGCTTAAGCTTGTGCAGCTTATAGTGTGGTTGCCGATATACTCACCTCCTTCCGCATTCTCCTGAGACTCATGTCACGGTCTGACACACCGACGTGAGCAGCATAGCCAAACTCGCTCGTGTGGTTTTGCTTGTCATGCGTGGTCATGGAGCCGATGCGACCACGTTCCAAGGCGTTCCGAATAGGAATGACTCGACAAAGCGCTCTGTTTTCGATACGTTTCGGTCGCATGCACATTGAGTTGAGGTGGACCACTTGTCTTGAAGCTTCCTGCCCAACTCTCATGGCGTTTTGCCAGTTCCTTCACATGAATGTGCACTTGTCAGCCGTCCTATTATAATAGACCGTTAAAGCTAGGACTGCGTCTGCGTCTAGTTGCCGAACACTTTCGGACTTTTGTGTTGTCTCTTTTGGCTCTACTGGCAGCAACGCCTTCAAGTATGGCATTGGTTCAAGGGTTTTCAAGCTTCCGTGACACTCCCGCCTCGCGGCTGTCTCTTGGATGGTAGCTTCTCTTCCCCACTCCGGTAACTATGAGTTCTTGGCTGACCAATCTGGGTGATGGAGCTGAGTGTGACACTTGGATTCGTGTCGTAATTTCCAAGCTCATTTTGACAGCTCTCTGCATTGCGAGACATGTCAGGCTTCACTTCGCGGCCACTGCTGCTTACCTGGTTGTGCACAGCAACTTTTCTGTGCGATCCTCGGTATCACGACAGTGAAGTGAAGCTCGAAGCCGGTTTTGCTATGTTTCGTTCGCAAAGGCGCAGAGTGGAAGGTGCTGGAGGCATCACCCAGGATGAGCAACTGCTCATTTCTGATGGTTCGTGGCTGGGTTGCCATAGTGAATGGCTAGTTGAAGCTGATCCTCAGCGTTGCTCCTCATGACATGAGGTGGCATCGCGACCAGCGCAAATCCATCACGCTCGTGCTCCCTGCGCTGTTCCTGTCTCGGGTTCATTTCTTCGCAGACGTGTCTGCCAGGAGACATCGTGCTACTATACCACGATGGAGGGCATGCCTTACACTCATTTCCGCATAGCGACAGTCCGAGTTACTCTTGTCATCCGATGTTCATTCCAACTCTTGCTACTCGCGCTGAAGCGAATCAACTTCTGCGTGGTGGGTAACGAAAAATTTGGCATGGTATTCAAAGCAAAACCGTATCTGGATTAAGAGGCTTTCCTGCATGGAATTCAACAGGAAAAGTACGTTTTTGTTGAGTATCCCACCCCCTCCACCGCCAGCACCACCACCCCCAGCACCACCGTGCCCTTCTGAGTTCAATGCCGCCCCCATCCACCCGCTACCCTTCCACGTAGACTTTTTAAGGGGTTAGGCTTCAGGGTCTGCGTAGGGTTTAGGTTTAGGGTATAGGGTCTGGGGTCTGGGGTTTTGGGGTTTGCCGTGATGTTGCGCTGCAGCAGCGGAAGTGCTTACCTTTGGGGCCCATGGGCGCCTTGTGGGCCTCTGATGGCCTTTGAAAGGGGTCTAACGTGCTGGGTCGACTGGCGGTTCCTGGTTTTGGGTTGGGTTGAGCGGTTCGTGGAGAACGCTTCGACTGTGCTCTTCGACTGTGCCCTAGGGCGTCTAGGGCTTGGTGTTGGAGGTGGGTGTAGGCCCGAAAGTTTAGGGTTCAAGTGTTTAGCATGCAGGGCTTTTGGTGCTTGGTGGTCCAGAAGCTGATTGTTTTGGTTGCAGTTGTGAGACTTTGGTGTTTGGTGGCGTCGCGTTTGGAGGTTTAGGGTTTAAGGTCAAGATGTACGGTTTGTTCTTGGGGTTTGTTGGTTTGTCGGGCTACGGGGGGGATAGTTTTTTTTTTGGGGCCATGTTGTTTTTTCCCAAGGTGCGGCCAACCCTTGCCTGAAAGGCGCGGCCAAGCCCTGGTCCTCTGGTCCCTTGGTCCTCTGGTCCCTTGGTCCTTTGGTGCTCCGGTCCCGTGGTTTTCTTGGGTGGAATCGCCAAATGATGGGGCGTGGTTAGGATGTATGTTGAAGCAGAATCGCCAAATGAGGAGGCGTGTTTAAGATATATGTTGAACGGGAATCGCCAAATGAGAGGGCAACTTGAGATATATGATGATCGGGAATCGCCAATGAGGGGGCGTGTTTCAGATATATGATGAAGGACTCGCTTGTGTTTGCGAATGGAGGGGGTTGCGCCCCCCCCCAACCCCCCCACTTTTTTAAGCCGAGCAAGGTTGCCTCAAAGCATATGATTTTTTTTTTTTTGAAACCCATCATGCGAGCATTGCGTTTCCAAGTTGGGGGGGTCTGCGACCCCCCCGACACCCCCCACCCCCCCCGCTGTTTTGAGCCGTGCAAGCTTGCTTCAAAGCATATGAGTCTTTTTTGAAACCCATAATGCGAGCATTCCGTTTGCAATTGGGAGGGCTGCCCCCCAACTCCATCAGTATTTTTAGCCGTGCAAGCTTGCTTCAAAGCATGTGAGTGTTTTTCAATCTTATCATGTGAGCAACCTGTTTGCAATGGGGGGAGCTGCACCCCCCCAACCCCCCTCCGGCGTTTTAAGCAGTGCAAGCTTGCCTCAAAGTATATGAGTTTCCTTTATTGAAAACCATCATGCGATCGTTGTGTTTGCTGCGCCCCCGCAACCCCCCGCTGATGCACATATCGGAAAATCGAGGTTGTCCTTGTCGAATGTATAAATGACAGGGCAGATTAAGATATGTGATGCGCAGGAATCGCCACAGGATGGGGCGTGAATCGCCAAATGGGATGCATGTTGAACCAGATTCGCCAAATCATGCGGTGTGTTTGAGATATGTGTTGAGCCGGAATCGCCAGCTGAGAGGGCAGTTGAAGACATATGATGATACAGAATCGCCAAATGAGGGGGCGTGTTATATAATATATTATGATGTACTAGATTTGAATACAAATGGAATAAAAAAATAAAATATGAGTATATTATATATTTTGCGTTTTCTTTGTTATATTTATATTAAATTTGTAATATGTTATATTTGCATTCATAACACATTTTTATTCTGTTTAACTATATTCAGTTTTTTACACCATATTATATTATGTTATATGATGTTTTATTATATTATGCAATGTTATAATGTTAATATGGTATGTGTTTTATTATATTATGCAATGTTATAATGTTAATATGGTATGTTTTGGCACGGTTATTTTACTATATTATATTAGGCTATATGAAATGGGACTTTATGTTTAAGGTTTACGGTGTTTGGGTTTGAGATTTATTCCGGGGTTTTGGGCCGGAAGTTCAGGTTTTGGAAGCTCACGTTTTCCCAGTCCACAAAACTATCAAACACGAAATTGTTTTCAAAGGGTGGTGCCTTCAACACAGGAGCGTTACCTGACGACATCTGGATGACCAGACGGATTCCTCATGCTTCCTCGGATTGTCATCACAGGATTTCAGTTGGCATGCCGGTCGGAAAGCATCAGTTCCAAACCCTGAGCCCCAGACCTAGTTCAACCCTGAACAACTAAACTCCTCAACCCTCAAACTAGACCTGAAGTGTCCGACCGCCGACCTCCAAACCCTTGAAGCCTAAGTCCATTAATCCTGAGCCAACCAACAACCTCCTAAGCAGAGACAATGAAAGTTGAAGCCCGGAGTCCCTGAACGCTGACCTGAATCCCACACCGAGAACCCCCAAACCCTAAACAACCTAACCCCAAGTTCCCAAACCCTAAACCTCTAAACCCAAAACCCACATCCTAAGCCCCGAAACCCACCCCCCAAACCCCCGAAACCGAAGCCCAAGAAGCCAACAGCCCCCAGAATCAACCCCACATCTTGAAGAACCCCAAACGCAACAAACCCGCAAACACGCCTAGGTCTTGCACCTCCAAACGCAGTACCTCTGAACCCAAACCCCTGATTGCCCAAAACCAACTATTCGAAGATCTCTGCGATCAGCCCAGCACCCAAAAGATTAGATTCAAAGCAAAGGCAAGGGAACAATGAAGAGGGGAATCATGGAATAGGCAAAATCTGAATATATTGGAGACAAGAACGCACTGTCTCCTGGATTTAACGCCCTTGTTGAGCCTCTGGGACAAGCTACTCGAAGTCAGTACCAACTAAACACATTCTGAACTTCCTTGAGTGCCAAGAGCGGATGCCCGGGGTACTGCACGTTCATGAGCCAATCCTTGCATGGGTAGAGCAGATGCCAGTGAGGCCCTACGGCTGCCAGTACAACAGAGCGTACTACCCTTCATACCAGAACGACTACCAGCGTCGTGCAGAGCGCGATCCTCGCTGCTCGCATTTTCGTCGCTGCGTGTTCCATTCCGGTGAGGAAGACAGCCCTGATGGAGTTCTACAACTCTTGTGGAGGCGGTCAGGGTGATTTCCAGTCATCAGTGGCCTTTCACTTTGTCGTTCATGAGGTGACTTCTGGCGAACCAGAGACAACTGGAACGGAGCAAGCCTGACTTCTTCAGACTGACGTTACTCTTCGCAGCAGTAGGGAAGAGGGGCTTGTGGCCAGGAGTTGGACCCTTGCTGGGACTACTGGTACGGGGTCACTTGCAACGAGCACGGCTACGTGGGAGCCCCGAGAGCATAGCAGGGAGCGGTTTGCCTGTCCCAGGAAAAACAGCTGCTGAAACTACAGAGCCTGAACTTCTGTCAGTATCTTGCATTTGCAGGTCATAAAGCTGGAGCTGTCGGACAACAGGGTGAGAGGGCCTCTGCCGTCTGCTTTAGGCTAGGGCCTCCTCAAGTGTGTCAGATTCGAGCCAGCTACTGCCACTCCTTTGCCAGAGGTGCGCTGACATCCCTGATCAAGCTGGACTTGTCTTCGACAGAACCGGAGTACCACATGCATCTTGTCGTGTCGTGGTCCGTATGCCACGTGGCCAATCGAAGACAAAGCCGAGGCATCCAAATGACGAGGTGAACCGCGTGGAAGGGCAGGGGCCCTAGGCGCTTTGAGCAGCGCACTAGACTAGCGCAATTTGATTGTGTACGATGAGGTCAATGCCCTCCTTGGCCATGTGTTTCCAGCTGGAAGAGATTGAGGCTTCACTCTGTATCTCCGCTCAGTCTTGTTTTCGGCTCTCGATGCAGGTTTCTGGCAATCTCATCTTGAAGCTACCAGATGTTTTGCACTCAGCCCCGCTTCTTCCTTCCTCCTCATTTGCTAGTGCCAAGTGCTTGATGGAAGAAAGAAATGCTCGAGGACTTGTATCTAAACGCAGATACACTGCGGTCATTGAGTGCCAGCCGCAACCAGTTGAGGCCTGGGCAGGAAAGGTGCAGCTTAAAAGCATGGCATGCTTGCCGGTGAGGAATATGCCGAACTACTTGCGGCGCTTTCAAGTGCCAGTGGCTTGAAGACTGCCGTCGTGGCCGTCGTGTCCTGGCTGTGCATCCCCGAGGCTCCACACACTCGAACTGGACAACAATATGATCGAGGAGGGCGTGTCCTTTCCTCTTTGCCCGAATTCACATTAGGGTATATATATATATATATACACTGCATATGTATACTTGCATCGGACAGGGCTGTGGAGCTAGAACAGGGCACGTGCACTTCAGGGGCACCTCTTTTGGAGGAGCCTTTGGGTCCCAAGAGACAGAGGAACTCACTTTCTCTGCACTTTCCATTTCCGCGTTCTGCTTTCTGCATTCCTATTGCTGCATTCTACCTCGATTATGATGTGTAAGTGCTAGTTGCCGGTTCTCTGTTTACGACACTCTGCTGGGTAAGTCAAAGTGTCGGGTTTCGATGCAGACTCTAGCTCTGTTCTCACGTTATGACCTCTATACATTGACACTGATGTGTTTAAGTCGCAGGGGTTTAGGTGATATGGACTCGTTGACAACTTGTCGGAAGTCCTCAGCCGTGTGTTCAATGCATAAACCGAGCAAGCTGCAACAACAGAGAAGCCGCCGCCACAGCAGCAATAGAAGAGCATGGCAGCGGCGTTGATTCTTTGCTCTGCTTGCACCAAAGTACGCACGGAATCTGTGTTGATTACATCTGCATCTAAGCCGATTCTCGTGTCGTACTCACAGAGACAGCCCACGAGGGTGTTGAGGTGTTGTTCCATTGCTTTATCGGTTCGTCATAGTTGGAATGACACCACATGGTACCCCGATATGGTAGGCAGCGATAGTGGTGGTATCTGCCAACACAATGCCAATGTTTGTCGACTTGTCGGAGAAAATGGGTTTTCAAGGGCAGCACGAGCGGCTCCGACAGAGAAGACCGACCTCGTAATTTGCTGGGTAGCATTGCAGACAAGATGGCTGTGGACGTGTGTCGTCATTTTCGCGCGAATATGAACTTCGTTGTCATGCATTTTCGCTTCGTTCTCATCTATCCGAAGAGAAGCTTACAAACCCAAACTGGATCGTCTGAGAAGCGATTATCCAGGCGAAGGATCGGGTTCATTCTTGCAGAGCTCTAGTGCTCTAGTGTCCTCTAGTGCAGGATGAGTTTCCGGCAGATTTTGGCCAACTACCGAACATCCGGCTTTGCTCTCAAAGCCCGCCAATTCAAAAGTCATCTGCTGCAGTCTGAAGTGCGAAGGTATGTCCATCTGCAGTACAATCGCCTGAAAGGAAGGCTGACGCAGGTGCCAAACTCTCGTATCATGCATTCGCATCGATCAGTCTGGCGCCAGGACATTGTTCCAATGACCAAGATCCAGGTCTGTGCGTTCACAGTGCGCATGGGGTAGTTACATCCAAAAGCATGTTGCGTGTCAAGGTGTTCGACATCTCCCACAACCCCGAGCTGGCCGGTGTGATTCCGGAGCAGGTCATCGTCGATTGGGCTGCCCCTGCTCTGCACATGCTTTCCATACACAAATGATTCCACACGTCTCGAATGTCGGTCTGTCCTCGATCTGTCGACATAATTTCTCTTCCGATAAAGACTCTGCTGTCGCTGCTACGTTGATGAGCCAATCCAAGCTTGAAGTCTCCAAGGAAATGAGCTATCTGTCCATTCTCAACACGTCCATCTCGGGCTACATCTCCAGTCTCTGTCCAGCCCTTGCATAGGCATGTGCGTCACACGTCGTGGACCAACCTTGGGCTGAGGCTTGGATGTGCCGTTTTGCTGGAAGTTTATGTACGACACTCACAAGGACCGCCGAACAGTCAGGTGCTCTGTGTGCACTTTGCAAAGCCTGTAGCATGTGTCTAGGACCTTACATGGGCCACAGTGTCGGATGTGCCCGACATTGTCGGCATGTGGCTCGGCATGGCTCGGCTCTCCTATTCGATTTCAGTTGAAGGGAGTGCAATTGAGTGGATGTCGCCGGGCATATCTAAGCAAGTTGGTACAGAAGATAACGCAAGCCACAGAAAGAGAGCGGACAGAGTGTACAAAGCGCAGTGGTTACTTGTCGGATGTGAATGAGCCGAGTTCACATCAATGTACTAAGGACTGTCGACCTGGCTCAGACTAACTTCTTTGATGAGACTTTCGCAAACCGGTGAGATGAGCCGCGCCTCGCACAGCGCAAGTGCTCCATTGCTAACGTACGTGGCTTGGCCCAGGCCTGGCAGCAGTCCAGACCCTTCGAAACCTTTGTACATAGTGTGGTACGATGCTGAACGGGCAGACAAGAGCCTAGGAAAGAGCGAGGTCAAAAGTTTTGCATGTTGTTGCTGAGCAACCTAGCTGTCTTGGAGCGTGTATCGAACTGGAATTCCGGAAGTGGACGGCGCCAGGAAGCTCGGCGTGTTCATTTGAGACGGCTGGGCAGTAGGGATAGTAGCAGCCAAGTCAGGCCTCCTGTGGCAATTCATGCAGAGCCGGCTAGATGCGCTCTTGGAGAGACAAAGGTACAATCCCTCCAATCCCTCGGTGAGTTTTCAGGGGCGAGGGGATTCATCTTTCTCAAGTCTGGCTCCAGAGATGGTAGAAGCCACCTGAAGCACTGATGGCTGAGAGTTCCGACGAGGATCCAGAACCTGCATGTCCGCCGCCGGCATGGGCAGCAGAGATCGTAGATGCTGCCCGAGCTCGCGTGGGGCAAGATGTCTATCCTCCAAGCGATGACACCTTCCTGCTCTTAGAAGTGTTGCAGGAGGATGCAGGAAAGCTACGGGCCTTGAAGCCGACGGTTTGTGTGGAGCTGGGCTGTGGCTCTGGTGCGGTTAGTGTCGGCCTGTGGGACGTTCTGACTCGTGAAGGATGCCCGAGCTTCATGCTTGCCATCGACAAAAACCCGGCAGCGGTAATGTGTACAGCGGAACTTTTTCGGCATTTCAAGCTTCCTCTGGCGGGCGTTGTGCGAGCATCCATGACACAAAGACTTTGTCATGTAGAGGTCGACGTGGTGATATGCAATCCCCCATATGTGCCGACGGATGAGGATGAGATGCAAGGATTCGGGATTTCAGTTTCCTGGGCCGGAGGGAAACGTGGCCGCGAAGTCATTGACATGCTGATGCCTACGGTTGCCATGACATTGGCTCCAGGTGGTCTGTTTTATCTTGTCTGTATAGCTGAGAACGACCCCGTCGAAATTCTTGCAATCGGACAGTCTCTGGGTCTTTCAGCACAGACAGCACGCCGAGAACAGCGTGGCATGGAGGAGCTCTGGATACTGCGGTTCCAAAGAGAGCAGACTTTGCCTCCGACCCTGTGCTCTGAGGAAAGAGGAAAAGCAGCGAGCCGTGCATAGCACCTTACAGCGATAATGAACATTGAAAAATGAATCTGCTTGACAGCTGCAACATCTACACCAAATTCCAAGTCTGCACTGACGTCGGGTGCCAGCTTTCCTTTCTGGTTTTCAGGTTGGCAAGTATGTGGGGTAGTAGTGTAGTAACTGTGTAGTATTGCTTGTCCCGTAGTGTTCAGTGTACTTTCGAAAGAAGCCGAAACCCAAGTGCAGTAATTTGTAGATCCGGATTCTGCCCTCGAAGGAGGTTGTAGACTGACAGGATGGGACAGGGGCGGGTTCACCGCCAGCCCCATTTCGCGAGAGCTGCCCCCATCTGGCAAGTTGATGCACTCGTAAGAACGGCGGTTCTTGGGAAAAGGGATGTTTGCTGCGAATTAGATACATTTCCTCCTCCAGATTTTGTGCATCCCACCTGCATACGTGAGTCGTGTCGTAAACACGGACGCGTTGCGACAAGCGAACGGTGCGAAACTACTTCATGAAGAGCTACAGCGACAGTTTGCAATTGCGTATTCTGTGATTTGATTTCTCTTCCGCGTTGGCACTGTTTGACTTTCTTACAGGACGAGGTAGACCCCGACACATTTGGGCAACTGAGGTGTGCAGACTTGTCTTAGGCGTAGGAGTTTGGCTAGTACTTTCACTTGGACTCCACTTGGCAGCAGCCTTCGATTATGTGGTGTCATTGCTTCCAAGCTGCATCGCTGATGCCGCTGTGCACAGGTGGCGTCAATTCTCAGTCCTTTGAGGCCGGGCCACCAGCTACACTTGTCTGGCACAGGTGCTGTAGCCACTGCGGGCCTCGGTGCATTGTGTCGGGAGCGTGCCTCTGCCATCGCTTCCACCTATATTCTGTGTACCGCCAGCTGGATTGAAACCCTTTGGGGACGGACATTCGTGGCTGCATGCCCGAAAAGCACAAAAGGGGCACGCGGCGCGGCCTCCGTTGTCACGGTGATAGGCGACACGCCCTCGAACACACCACGAGAATCCGACGTCTCCCTCGACACACCACCTGCTTTGCCAGAGGCAGACATGTGTGCGATCTGCCTGGATCCCATTCACCTTTCAGCCACGGGCGAAGGTCTCCGCAGTCCTCCACCCGACATGGCCCGCCACCGCTTGCACTTCGCGTGCCTGGCGCAGCACCGCCCGATCCGACACACCGGCCGACATGCAGTGCCCGGTTTGTGCTGCAGATGGTTGGGCCAATATGGGCCGATGCCAATGGCCAATAGTTGCATGCGGCCTGTCCGGCACGAGGGATCGAGGCGCGGATGCGGCTGCCCGCCCCATCCACCGTGCGTCAGGGCGTTGCGGACTACACGACACACACTTTCGACAATCCCGAACCCCCACCGCCCATGCATGCATGCGTACTGTGCTGCCGCCGAGTCGCTGCTGCGGCGATGGTGGTGGGGACGTCAATTTCGTCGAGCTCCCACACCGGAGCATGCAGTGGTCGCCCATCGCCGTCTGCACCCTCGGCCTTTGACTTTCCATGATTACTCATGGCCTGAATCTACGCAGCAGCAATTCGCTGCTGCTCGCAAGCACCCGGGACGTCACTGTTCGAGCTCTTTGCTTTTGCAAAGAACTCATGAGCGCATGGAACATGACCGGACATTTGTGCTGCGCCTGCGGACGGCAACCCCGCCCGCTCGCCAGGGCACCCGATGCGTCTGCCGGTTGCCCCAGTGCGCCCACCAGCGATCTCGCGCCCGCGCATGGGTCCTGGTACGACGTCGGCCCGCCTGCTGCACGCGGCACCCCCCCGCAGGCCGCTGAAGCTTGGGGCCACGACGAGCGCTGTCAGCCATGGTGGCGCGATGCATGCCACACGCTCCGTCACTCGGCAGCGGTCCCGGCCGCCCTGCTCTGGATGCCCTTCGCCAAGCCAGGAAAGTCAAAGGCCGAGGGTGCGGACGGCGATGGGCGACCACTGCATGTTCCGGTGCAGGAGTTCGACGAAATTGACGCCCCCCATCGCCCCGCACGGCTGCGACTCGGCGGCAGCGCAGTGCGCGTGCATGCAGGGGTGGCGGGGGTTCGGGGGCATCGTTGGACGTGAAAGTGTGTATCGTGTTGTCCGCCACGCCCTGACGCACGGTGGAGGGGGCGGGCAGCCGCATCGGCGCCTCGATCCCTCGTGCCGCACAGGCCGCGTGCAACCACTGGTCGTTGGCATCGGCCCAACCGTCTGCAGCACAAACCGGGCACGCTGCTGCGCTAGGCACGTGAGGTGAAGGCGGTGGCTGGCACATGTCGGGTGGAGGACTGCGGAGGCATCGTGCGTGGCTGAAGCGTGCATTGCTGCATGGGATCCAGGCAGATCGCACACACATCTGCTTCCGGCAAGGCAGGTGGTGTGTCGAGGGAGAGGTCGGATTCGCGTGGTGTGTTCGGGGGCGTGTCGCCTATCACCGTGATTATGGAGCCACACCGCGCGCGTCGTCGAGGCCGGCGGCTGCCGAGGCTCTTCTCGGTCGCTCCTGCCCTCCATGACCTCCAACGGGAGTTCCGTCCCTCTGTGCAAGTGACTCGTGCTAGCATACCTTGATGATGTCTACATGCTTGCCTCACCCGACCAGGTGGCAGGCACTGCTTTGCCTGCCGTCTCCAGGAGCGGATCTGGCAAAGGGCCCGCCTGCGCTTGAATGCCTCCAAGACTCGTGTGTGGAATGCGGCTGGGGTCCTGCATGATGCGCTTCCGCAACCCGCTCCTGAGTCGGCAGTGTGGGTTGGTGATCATGCATTGAGCCCTCGGCAGGCCGGCCGTCATCGAGTGGCACTTGCAACAGTCGCTCGCCCTCCATGCCGGTCTCCTCCAGCCACCCCGTGCCATACACACCCAGATCAGTTTGCTGCGCCTCTCGTGCTGCGCAGCCCCGTGGGCGCAGTATGCGCTGAGGTCACTCCCACTTGAAGCTACGAGGGCCTTCGTTACCGCCCACGATGACGCAGTGCTTGCTTGCGTGGATACGCTACTGTCCTTTGGGGCCTCCGGCTCCGCACCCTGCGCTGGGGACGAACCTCAGCTCGACACCACATGTGGATGGCAGCGCCGTGCATCCAGGGCCGTCGACGAGTTCTCCACTTGATCCCCCCCGCTGCCGCCCTGCTGGACTCGCAGGCAGGCCCCTTTTCGCTGCCCGAATCTTCGCGGCCAGGCCTACTTTTCCTTATAGCGCTCACTGGCACCTTCGCTGTTGCGAGTGTTGCTGTTACGGCGCCTGCGGCTCCCTCTGCCGCGTACGGAGGCACTAGGGGATCACCTCGCTGCGTGCCCCTGCTCCGGAATGTTGCGCGCCGGAGGTGCCCCACTAAAGCGTGCTGCCGCCCTTGTCCGCTGTGAAGCTGGTGCTACTGTTGCAACCAACGTTTAAGTGCGGGACATCAATGTCGCACCTGCCGTCGAGGTCATAGCAAACGGTTTGCCGTTCTGGGGAGGGATCCAGGATACGGTCGACACCACACTCGCGCCACCCATGGCTGCAACCGGCGAGCTTCGGCGTGAGGGCAAGCGTATCGCCGGGGCTGCTTTGCGCCACGCTCGCCGGGCGAAAGGGCGCACTTATCCAGAACTCTGCAACTGCCGCCGCTGCTGCTGGGCATAGGGGCCGGCAGCAAGCGGTGCCCCGAAGCTGCTGCTTTCCTCCCGCTCCTTGCCCGCTGGAACGCCCGGCCTGCACCGCCACCATTGCAAAGTGCATGCATATCTGCGTATACGTGCTTCGGTGTCCGCCCTGCTCGCCTTTGCCGCTGCCGGCGCCTTCGTGAACGGCGTCCTTCCCTGCCGCTTTC